GCAGCACATTCATATATATATTAACATTTGCATACATACATACATACATACATCAATCCAAGTATGCGTATAATTACGGTGACCAGATTTCTGTGGCCAAAAATCGGGACATTTTTAAAGCAACGAATCTGAACATACAATTTTGTTTTTTAGAATAAAAAGGCTTAAAACAGTTTTATTTAAAACAAAACGAAGAGAAAAAATATTAAAAATGTTATCAGCTTTTTTTTTAAGAAAATATAACTTACTATCTTAAACGAGGATGTACGTAAATCAAAATTTCAAAATTTGTAGACCATTTATAAAAATTCGACGAATTTGAATAAATGTTCATCACAATTGGAAACATTTTAGTCAGATTTTGTAGAATTGTTTTAGAGTATGCAGTTTTATAGCACATTCAATTTTAGTATAATAACGTGCAAGTTGAAAGAAGCCTGGACCTACCGTTGGCTTTGGCAATTTTTTGTTCGCGCATTTTCTTCCATACAGAGTACGTTAAAAATTTTTTTTGTATAGAGAAAATGAGCAACACCTTCCACAGAATTTACTAAATATCAACGGTAGGTCCTAGCTACTTAAAATGTGCACTTTGAATTGAATGGTTTACAAAACTGCATACTCAGAATGTTTCTAAGAAATCTAATTAAGAAGCTCAAAATTTTGATGAAATTTGTCGAATTTTTCTAATTTTTGTACAAAGTTTTAAATTCTGACTTACATGGTCTTTGTTGTGTTTTTGGGTTTGGACACTGAAACACTTAAAATCGGGACTTAATCGGTACAAATATGAAAAATCGGTATACTTATACGTCCCGACTTTAAAAAAAAATTCAGCGCGACAATTTTCTCAAAATCGCTACTGTCCCGCCAAAATCGGTACGAATGGTCACCGTATTTTTGGAGATTTTTATTGCACAAAAGGTTTGTTTAACTTATTTCTTGTTATGAAAAAATTAAGAAGGCGGCACAAAATGTGTTTTGACACTAATAATTTGACATAACAGTTATACATTTATACGTACATTGGTATTTTCTTGAAGAAAAACGATATACAATGCGATATTATTACCTAATAAATGTGGAATTTGTATTAGAAATAATTATAAAAGAAATACATATAAATTACCTTCATAAATATTACTATTAATACAAATGAATTCAATTAATAAAAACTTGTACTTTTATTTATCTAAGAAATTATAACAGAAAAGTAAGTAGAGTATAAAATCAGTTTAACTGCGTCTTTCTAATGTAGCCAATAAATGTTGATGAATTTTTTATTTTTTTTTCAATGAAGATGCAGTCAAAAGTTTTTTATTGTTTAAATCTTTTCGGACAATAAATCCCTAAATAAAAAGTTCAGTTTGATCTTTACATAAAATTGGGATCTCAAAGGGTTAAGGAAGGAAGGCGCGTACGAATGACTCATATTTCCACTCGGAGGCAGATTTTCCCATAGTGAATGCCTTCTGTGAGTGCCAGGAGGAGTCACATCCTTCTAACCCAGGTTACATACTGTCAGTATGTGAGGGCAGCCTCGGCAGAGCATTTTTGTAGTGTGCGTGCGAACAAGTCGTGCAGTTGAATAAAGCTTTCGCTGCCTTCTCAAGCAGAACGCTGGGCGGGCGCTGCCCAGGGCTGGTATAAAGTCTGTCAAATCATTTACTATCACCTCCACTATCTCCCTCCAGCTATTGAAAAAGCGTGATCCCAAATGCTTGACACACCTTGTCTGAAAAGCTAAGCATTGACATAAGAAGTGATTAAACGATTCCACTTTATTCTCATCCCGACAACTTCTGCAGATGGAGTTTGTTGGTTTACGGCATTGATGGAGTTGGTGCTATATCGCAGTTCCCTGTGATAAAACCAGTAAGAGCCTGCAGATTAGTTTAGTGTCAATAGTTACTCAGTACGACTTTTATTGAGTTTCGTCCACAAGGATCTTGAGACCTCACAGTCGTCCCGATTGATCGAAAGGTAACTGGTTACGGCTAGGGTGTATTCTTCAATCCCCTTTAATAGTAAAGAAATTGGAGGCAGTAGGGAGTTATCCACTTCGCTAATTTGCATTTCCGAGCCGTATCTAGCCATCTCGTCGTCTATTTCGTTCCTTTCTATACTGCTTGGCCTGGAACCCAGCAGACACAGTTTTTGACGTGACTCAGTGAAGCCAACATTGCAGGATATTTCGGAACTGCTTTCGACTTTACGACTCTGGAGCCTAATGTTTTCATTGTCACCTAAGTGTCAACGATTATAGTGACGTTCCCTGAAAGAGACTTTCTATGGACAAGCCGCCTTCTTTATGGAAAATATCCACGCCTAAAAGGCACTGTAGTTATAAGACAGGCGGTATGGTTACCTTATTTGAAGCTCATTGAACCATCGGAGTAGATGGAAATACCATCATTTACCGACAGGATACCACCTTACGAATCTTCAAGGGTGTATATGATAACCTTAAAACTAAATCCCAAGATGACGTGAGGTAATTAGTTTCGACATCTAAGTCGACCTTGGGTCCGTTAAGCCGTTCACTATTAATTTCCTTCAAGAACGCGGCGGGTCCGTAGCTGGTCTGCTTGCACAATTTTGGTTCCCTCAGTCTAAGGGCCTCTATTACGGCTGCACCTGTTACGAAAACTTGTGGTGGCTTCAAGTAAAAGATCATGTTCAGTCCTGTTTGGGGTGCGCTTGGCACGGCGCCTGGCATACCGAGACTTGCTACTTTTTTCTAATTATTCTCTGATTGTTGGTTTTATCCAGTGCTTTCCACCAGACCAGCGTACTATATTTTAAAATCAGTCGGATGACTGTGGTGTACATATCGTGAACGATACGTGGTGACAGCACCCAGTTTTTTCCGAAAGCCCTTTCACAGGTACAATGCGCTGCTAGGCCCTTATTTGCTCTTTCCTCTACGTTACGCCTCCACGCAAGTGGGGAGTCAAGGATAATACCTAAGTATTTGGCCTCGGACGTAATGTTCAGAGCAAGACAAATTCGATTTTAGAAGGGTTAACTTCTAGCTCATTTTGTTTTGCCCAATTGGAAATACTGCCCAGTGTCGATTCCATCAGCTTACTAATTTTTGGCAAGAATTTACCGGAAATTAGTATAGCCAAGTCATCAGCGTAGGCAACTACTTTCGTTCTCCTAACTTTAAAGCTTTCTAACAGTTCATTTCGTACCATGATCCACAACAGGGTTGAGGTGATAAGACCCCTTCCTGCGGAGTTCCCCTTGTTGTTCTCCTAATCACGGACCCTGTGTCTACAGCTTCGTTGATTACTCTGCTTTTCGGCATCGATTCGATCCATGCAACTATATACTCCTGGATGCCGTGCCTCTCCAAGGCCCAACTAGTTACTTCCGCTCCGAGATTGTTGCAAGCCCACGCAGCATCTAAGAAGCTGGATAGGGTGTATTGCCTGTATTGACAGTGACTGTTCAATAGTACTTCGCTTCGTGGAGAGCGCTATGGACTGATCCGCCCTTACAATAAGCATGCAGCGCTATGTCCATTGTGCGTATGCGGGTCTTCAAATTGTTTTTAGTATGGACGATGAGCAGGAAATCCGGCATATACATAAGTAGCATATTTTTTGAGAAAAAAAGTGATCGCAATAACACAAAATAAAATTGCATTCTTGATTGATGGAAGAAGTTGCTGTTTGACTATTACATACTCAAACCCTGTCCCTTGAACGTCGCTTCAGACCTGTCCGCTCGTGAATTTTACATCATTCCTACTCACGTTTTAAAGTGGGAAATAGAGATGGGCGCAGGATATCGGGACTCGCGGGACCCACGGTACTAATCTTAAAATGGCAGGGATGAGCGGTATCGGGAAGGTCTTTACGTGACCCGCGGCACCAATCTGAAAAATCTCGGATCTGTATTTAATATTTAGTCCCGAGCCCAACTCTAATGGGGAACACTTCCCATGCACGAGATACTGACATACATATGTACATACATATAACGAAATCAGTCCCACCCTGAGAGGGCAATACGTATCTTGAGATAAAAGCTTGGCTTTATTGATACATATGTATGTACGTACTAGGAATGTTTCGAATGTCATATTTTTCATATTCGCGAATGCGAATGCGAATTTTCGGAATGCGAATTTTCGGAATGCGAATGTTAGGAATAACATTAAAAAAGCTATAATCAACTTAAGTCATTATTATTACTTAAAAATTTTGTAAATTACTAGAACATTGAACGAGTGCTTAACCTATACAGTGTTTTAATCTAGTAGCCAAAGTTCAAAAGTGGCATATTATATTAAAAAAAAAAGTAATTTCGCTGCCTTTTCTTCCATGTGGTCGTATTTTAGTTTAGTTTTACACCAATCGAGAGGATTTTCTCCGAGATTAGCTCGTTTTTATCAATTGAGCTTTAATTTCACATTTTTTATTAATGTCTCCAGATTCTATATCCGAGCCTTCGCTTTCGCTGGAGGAATCTAAAATTATTTCTAGGCGCCTGAAGCTAAAAGCCGGTTATTGTCCGCACCCTGGTTAGGCGGACTTGGAGCCATTTGAACAATATTAGAGTGGACTCTCTGTACATGTACACATTCGCATTCGCAAAACATTCGTATCATTTGATGCGAATGCGAATGTCGAATGTTGAATGCGAATGTGTAAAATGATGCGAATCATTCGCATAACGAATGTACATATGCAACTTCGCTAATAAAACTGCAGATTCTCATTTCTCTTTCCAAATTCACCACTTGAGGGTTTATGTACGGTATTGACGTTAATAGGATAAAAAAGTTACGTTTATTTCTTTGTTCGCTTTGACTTCTTAAACATTTTGGTCACGTTCGAAAACTCTGCTCCCAATAATTCACACACACTTAAATTATTTTTGTAAGGGTTTATTTCTAATTTAAAATGTATTATATATCTTACAACTAATATCACATTTTTCTCCAGCTTCTTAAGCTTGCCACAAATCCAATGACCCATCACACTATATCAACTGCCTGCCGCATCAGCCGAATGCCGCGATTCTATGTGACGCTGGAGATCTCGCCTTCGCGCCAATGTCTTATTACACAGCGTACACTTGTAGCCCTCCATCGGCACATTGCTAACATTCGATTGCATATGCAGACGCACATGTTTATTCAGATTGCTAGGATCACCGAATGGACGTAGACAAAATTTACATTTGAGTGGCTTAAAGCCTGTGTGAGTGCGTATGTGAATTTTAAGTCCATATTTCCGTGAATAAACCTTGCCACAGTAGATGCAGAGGTGACCCTGCTTGGAAGCGCCCATATTGCTGACGATCGCTTCGATCTGGGCGGCAGCGTTGAGTGGATTTGTAGCGCCAATGCCAGTGGCAGGTTGCAGTAGGTGGTGCATGTGTGGCAAAACGCTACTCACCGATGAAATTGGCGGTAAAAAAGAGAGGGCGGCACTTGGTGTTACTGCGGTGCTGCTGTGAGCGTTCGGGTTACTGAAGGAAGCTGTGGTAACGGCTGCGCTGAAGGCAATCGAAGGTGAGACAGGTTTAAAGGCGGAAAAGCGGTGTACTTGTTGTTGTTGTTGCTGGTGGTGGTGGTGGTGTAGCTGTTGCTCTTGTTGTTGATGATGCTGTTGCGAATGTGTGGATGTTTGTACAGCTGCGGCTGGCTGTGGTGATGAGGCTGGCGAAATGGATGATGTGCTTGATGGAGCTGCTGGTGGCGTATGCAACAATGGTTGGCTAGTTGTTCGGGTCGCCGTCGCTGCAAGCAGCTCACGTTGTTGCTGTGTGT